AATACTTTTTATTCATCGGCTCAAATTCAAATACATTTTTTTAAACATGTAGTGGATGGTACTTGATGTCAAAACAGTTTTTTTCAAATATTAATTTTTTAATTAAGTTTTATTTTTTAATTTAAATTTATTCTGCATTATATTTCTGACGAAGTTAGAGACGCCGCGGTAGCCTAGTGGTCAAGGATCGTGGCTGGCGTGTCATGAGTTCGAGCCCAGTACCACTAAAAACCAGCCGTGTAGGGGAGCGATGCACGTTAAATCTGTCGAGAGGTCAAACGTCCTCCCATTGGCGTGGTGTGGTAGTTAGGAGAGGAGGTGCCAGCTCAGGTGTTGTCCACGTCACTTGACCATGGTTCAAAATGACGAGGTCCGTCGACAAAAGCCTTCGTGTAGCTGAACAGTGCGACGTTAATATTCACTCATTCTGACGAAGTTACAATTAGCTGCAACAGATGGCACAGTCAAAGTAGAAATTAACTTTAACTTTTTTTTTATATTACTTGTTATGTTTAAATATGGCTGAGAAAAATACCTCGTAGTCCAAAAGTGTATAAAAATTATTTTTCTTAAGAAAAACAGTTTTTCTTATCAAGTTTTTTTTTTTAATGTGTATTTGGTAGAAATTAAATGGGACACGCTGAAAATAGTAAAATATAGTTATTATTTCGATTCATTTGTTTAAACAACTTTTTCACATTCTAAATGAATATTTTGCATCATTATTAAAAATGCATGTAGTTCTATCAATTTTTATATTTATGTACGCTGAGGAATATGATTATATTTGTATGTCAAAGTAAAGAATTTTAGAGTTGATTTTCATGAAACTAATTCTTATGAACATTTTTTTTTCTTAATGAATTCAATGCATCCTTCTGTTTTCATCCAAAGAAAATGGGAAGAGGGAATATTTTCACACACACATCTTTCTTTAATCAAACCATTGAGATTTCACATTTATTTATATGTAAAATAAACACAATTAAGCACATTCCTTTAACCTAAAATTCTGTTTGGTTACAGAAAACCTACTAATCTAGAAAAAGAGTCCTGAATAAATAATACAATAGCTTTTCTGACAAGCACAAATCAGTTACTTTTATTTTAATTATTATTTCAATTCGTTAATCTATGTTATTTATATAGTAGCGTAAATATAAATGAATTCTGTAACATTTTAAATTAGTTTTTGAGCAGTTTGTTTATCAAACAGTGCTTGAACTTCGCGAGTAATTTATTTAAAAACCACATCCAGCTCAAATGAGAACCTGCAAATAAAATTACTGAAAAGTTATAACCCATTTCAGGTAACACAAATAAAATGTTTGTGCTTAGAGCAAAATCTAAACAGCTTGCAACAAATTTCGAACCTTTTTCGGGATATTTAGCAAACTTGTTAAAGGTTGAGAAGATTTTTACTTCTCTTAATTCTCTATGTACACAGAAGCAAAAATGTCTTCGGGAGAAAGCGCTGAATAATATGTACAAAAGAAAAAACAATATTAAATGGCAATCAGTGCCGGTTCTTTTGAGTAAAATGCGAAATTTCGCCGAATATTTTGCGGAGTGCAAAGACCTGCCCTTCGACCAGACCGCTGTTCTAGGAAAGAGATCTCCCATTTCACATAAAAAACAACTCTAAATAGAGTGATAGCAGTCTGAGATCTACAAAATAAGCAGACGCGTTTTATTTTGGTTGAGATCATTTTCATTTTAATTTTTTCACCCTTTTTAAGTGAAAGTAAACCATTCGTCTTTTTTTTCTTGAAACGCCTGAGCGATCACGAAAGGTATCAGTCAGGATTTTTTTAGTAGCGCAACAGAGTTCTAAGAAATTATTTTAAAAGAACGGCCGAAGAAAGTGTTTGGACGGGGAGGGCGGGGAAATGTGTGTGCGTGTAACATCTTCGAATCGAAACTAACTTTTAAAAACTAGAACTTTAATTTTATTTTTCGGTCGATTGTTTTTAGGATAATTATTTCCTTTGTTTTAAGTTTTACTTTTTACAGAAAAATTTTTTTGCTTAGGAATATCTCTAAATTTGTTCATACTGACTTGCATGTACTCAGCTTTCCGCTTTTGGTTCTAGATATCTAAGTAAAAAATCTTTCCTCATATGAAAAAATATTTCGAGTCCGTAAAGAAATGGATTAATAACTGCTCAGAATCGTGTCAGATTGAAAGTCACAAATCATACACCTGATTTTGCAGCATGAAAGTAGAGCGGTGCAAGTACTTTAAAATTTTTTTATTTATCTTTTAATTTAACTATAATGAAGGCAGATACTTATACTTTATGTTTTCTATTTCTTATTTTAATACATATATTTAAAAATACATAATATATATGTATAATTTTACTTTTGTTCAAGAAAATTTACATTTTATGCTGTTTATTTTGATGTTAAGAAATATTTTTTAATGATGCCAAACTGATATATAATCAAATTTTAACAACTCTATATTATTAACCTCTATTCTCTAACTCTGCTTACATTATCGCGAGAATCGAATTGTTTCAAACATGTCCTACTGCGTGGCACGCCACAACTAAAAAGTTGCAGAGCCTTGATCTACGGCATAGATAATATGAGAGTTATATATTAACGTCGCACTCTCTCTCTATAAATCTGCACAAGGTCTATTGACGACGGACCTCGTCATTTTGAACCACATGGTCAAGTGCACTCCCTCTCCTAAATTCCACACCATACCAACGGGGGACGTTTGAGCCTCGACAGGTTTAACGTGCAGCGGACCCCACTACACGGTGGGTCTCTAACGACACTAGCCTCGAACCCATGGCACGCTAGCCACGAGTTCCTGACCTTGACTAGTAAGCTACTATGGCCGTAATCTACAGCATAATGATGGGATTTATAAATCTCTACCCACTTTTACCCTATTTATTTGTTTTATGAGATTATATTTATTTCACGAGAAATGAAGAAATTACATGAAGTTAGTTTTAAAAATCCACTTGAATGTTTTGTTGACACTTTTAAACCACGCCTGAATGAACATGTTATTTTATTTTAGATTCTAACTCTCGAAAACATTGCTAGTGTTGTTTGTATCCATTTCAACTTCCTTATTTCTCAGTTCTGCTTTAAATTCAACATTTTCTCCAAATGAATTTTTTCCAAAATACTGACTCAGACAGCAAATTAGGGCAAGTAAAATAGGAGTATTTTCGTGATTAGAAATGAAAGCCGTCACAGACAGTGGTCACAATCGTGGCCGTGGCCGGGCATATTCAAATCAAGCTATGAGTTCAAGTCCAAATTCACACGGCAAGTAAAACGGGCTTCAAGCTGGCCATCAAAGTTTTTCTGTCGTGAGGAAATTAATATGGCCAGCTCAGACATCATTCTCGTTATTAGACCGGAATTTGAAAGCACGAAACCCGTCACCTGTTCTCGCAATACACTAATTAAAACCCTGCACATTTACTAACAATAATGAATTAAAATAGAAACACACAGTATCTGCTTTGTAACCAGATATTTGCGAATTTCGGTCCCGATTCTACTGATTGTTATAGTTCTATACATCAGCCTCTCTCAGATCACATAGTGCAGTGCAACCCGACTTTTTAATCATCGCAGCCCGGTCAACGTTTAATAATTTTACTGCGACCCATAGGTGGAGGAGACGTTGATTGTTTATATTTTAGATTGTTTTGGTTTAATAATTTTAATTTTATTTTATTTATATATATATATATAAATATGCTTTCAAAATAGAATACAAATACATCTAAAAATGAATATAAAAAGTGATGTAACATAGAATATTAAATGATTTCCTGGAAAGTCGCAGAAAACCGAGAGAAATACACCATAGTAAATGAAATAAAAATAATTTTTAATGCTCCTTGGGCGTCCCGGTACCATTTGACCGGTACTGGTCCGCCGCCCGGGGGTTGGGAATAATTGATGTAGCATGTGCATATCAGATCAAATTCAAATGAAAAAATAATTAGACTGATATAACTACTCAGAATGTGGATTATAAATTATATATAAAGGAGCATAAATAAAAAACGTCAACCATCTTTTAACCAAGCTTAGTATCTTTCGAAGAGTGAAGGAGTAAGAAAATGTATTTGTGCCTGGTTATACTTATCTCAGAGTAGA